AAGGTAAAGGCTTTCCCTTTTATCTCCGGCTTTCTGGAGGTGGTGCTCAACTCTGGCCATAAGGAGGTGCTCTTGTTACATCTCCAAGCTGAGGAGCCTGTTGTTCATAGACACCTCCTGGTTGTGTTGCCGGCATGACTGCATGGGTGCCTTTATTACCTTCCTGCTGAAGCGGTATCTATTGATCTACTCACATTTGCAGGTTTTCAAATCTATTCACATTTGCATGGTAGGTTTGGTAGGAGCTAGGGCTAACAGCGGGAGCTGACACCCAACCTGTGGCTTAGAACTGCCAACCTTTAGGTCAGCAGATTCAACAGTTCAACGGTTTAACCTATTGTGCCACCGCGGCCCCTGAAGGAATAATCAAATAGGAATTACAAAGCAAAAAGAGGGGAGAATGGGAAGGCTAATCCAGAAACAATGTACACAAAATCTATACATATGTAGGAACCAACTCAAGTTGTTATAGTGAAAGGAACAATCTGTAAAATTGGGAAGGTGGTAGAAAATTAGGGTGACCTGGAGATGAAAATGGCATGCATGATGTCTCAGGATAATTACTTTGAAAGAGAAAATCAGAATGAGATAAATATAATAACAAATGTGAGAGAATGTGAGATGATTAAGGTGTGGGGGTGAGGCACATAGTTAATATGGTCCATAAGAAAAGTAAGAGTTAAAATTAAAATCAAACTGAAGGAATAACATTTGACTGAAGTTGAGTTATAAATCCTCACTAAATGATAAAATATAATGAGAACTAGATGTGGATATTATTTTAAAAAGCATTTTACAAAGTGAAATTGGACAACAACAAAGTTTAAAGAATAAGCAAATACAGTGTTTCATAATACATATTAGGTACATGAAATGCAAATCTTAGGGAAATAATGAAGTTTAATAACAGATTGGATATAATGATGCTTTATAATATGTCATAGATGATAGTTTTAATTAGAAGGATTAATGTTATATAACTATGTTAGTAAATTGATGTTAATATTAAAGACGAGAAAACTGATCATTACTTATTATGATGTAATGACTTAATTTCTTGATAGTGTTACAGAACAACAGTGCATGATATTGTATTATGTTTGATATGTTAACATTGGGATGAAGAAAATACTTTAGATTGTTGAGAAATAATGAGAACGGGGCATGGAAATAGATTTTTATTCTGAGAGGCAATTATAATAATACACTATTTATATTCAATTTATCTCCCTTGAGGGACTCAGAGCAGATAAAAGTATACAGATATAAGGGAAACATTCAGTGCCTTTTACACAGTGATCAACAACGAATTACAATACCATATTTTCTGGCGTATAAGACTACATTTTAACCCAAGAAAATCTTCGCAAAAGTCAGGGGTCGTCTTATACGCGGGTATAGTCTTATATGCTGGGAGTCATCTTATATGCTGGGAGTCATCTTATAGAGCAGGTGCTGAAACTTCCAATCTGGATTAGAGGATCTGTGGTTGCTGCATATGGTGGTGGTGGTGGTGGGGGCTCAAAAATGGCAGTGTTCGCGTCCCTGCTGTATGCAGCGACAGTATGAAAAGATTATGGGCGACATTGTACAAGTAGAAGAAAATCCATTCATCAGGATTTGTGGACTTAATGTGGTCCCAAAGGTGAGGTGAAGGGGTGTCTCAATGTGGTGTAAGTGAAGGGCAGAGCAAGCTGCAGGCACCCAGGGTGCTTGGAGTATGGAAAAAAGAGACAGTGGCTCTGGGTCCAGAAAAACACACCTCTTTTACCTGTCTGGCCCGCCCTTGTATCCTATTACCGTACCTCCTCCTCTGCCTCTCAGATCTCGATTCTGAAGACTGCAGTGAAGCGGTACAAGTGTGCACGTTCGAGATCTGAGAGGCAGAGAAGGAGGTACAGTAATAGGAAAATTACCATATTGAAATTAAATCTGATGCTTTTTAAATTTTTATTTGGTCTGCATTGGAAGAAGGGTAGTCTTGTATGGCGAGTATATCCCAAACTCTATATTTTAATTGGAAAAGTTGGGGTTATCTTATATGCCCAGTCGTCTTATATTCCGGAAAATACGGTACATAGACAAAGGTCAAGGCCTTCCCTTTTTCATCTACAGCAGGGGTCCTCAAACTAAGGGCCGAGGGCTGGATACAGCCCTCCAAGCTCATTTACCCGGCCGTCGCTCAGGGTCAACCTAAGTCTGAAATGACTTGAAAGCACACAACAACAACAGCAACAACACTCCTATCTCATTAGCCAAAAGCAGGCCCACACTTTCCATTGAAATAATAATAAGTTTATATTTGCTCAAATTGTTCTTCATTTTAATTATTGTATTGTTTTAAAGTGTTTTTTTTGCACTACAAATAAGATATGTGCAGTGTGCATAGGAATTCATTCATGTTTTTTTCAAATTATAATCCGGCCCTCCAACAGTTTGAGGCATTGTGACCTGGCTCACTGTTTAAAAAGTTTGAGGACCCCTGATCTACAGTTCTGGAGGTGATGCTCGATTCCGACCATGTGGAGGTGCTGTTGTCCCATTTTTCCATGCCAAGGAGTCTGTTGTCTGTAGATATCTTTGATTGTGTTTTGCGGCATGTCTGCATGTGGCACCCTTTTACCTTCCCACAGAGGTGGTAACTATTGATCTACACGCATTGCTTTCCAGCTGCTAGGTTGGCAGAAGCTAGGACTCACAGTCAAGAGCTCACCCTGACTCACAGCTTTGAAGAGCTAACCCTCGGTCAGCAGATTTCCTTCAGCTAGCAGTTTAACCTGCTGTGCTCTCACAAAAAGGAAGAATCGAAGTTACATTTTACTTTATTATTTAGTCTCTTTTTCTTTCTTTCATCCCCCTTTTTTCTGTGTATACTTGCAGACTTTTAGTGTATTAGAAAATGTTGCCTAAAATACTCTCAAAAGCCAAAATGTGTTGGTTTAAAAAAAATAGTAATGCAGTAGTCTCGCTCATCCAACGTTCTGTATTATCCAATGCAGTCTGCCTCCCACCTGGATTCACAGCTGTTTCAATACATTGTGATATTTTAGTACTGAATTTATAAATACAGTAATTACTACATAACGTTACCATGTATTGAACTGCTTTTTCTATCAATTTGTTGTAAAACATGATGTTTTGGTGCCTAATTTGTAAAATTATAACAGAATTTGACGTTTAATAGGTTTTTCCTTAATCCCTCCTTATTATCCAACATTTTTGCTTATCCAACATTCTGCTGCCCTGTTTAAGTTGGATAAGCGAGACTCTACTGTAATAAAATAATAATATTTTGGACATCTGAAGAAGTATCTCTTGATTGGGTTGTTGTAGGTTTTTCCGGGCTATATGGCCATGTTCTGGAGGCAATTTATCTCTTGATTCTTCTGTGGATTTAATTGGATGCTTCCCAGTTTGTGCTTCTTTTGTTTTTCCCTTAAAGGGTGGGCAAGACAAGAATGCTAATTGTTAAATCCAATTCTGTCACATTGTATTTGCTTGGCCATTCAGAAAAGTAGTTATCATCCGGGCAAATCATTAATCATCATTGGTTTAATGCATTCTAGTATGGTCTTTGTTTCTATTTGGAAAGAATGAATATGGATCACTTGAAGGTACTTTTTCTTTCTACCTCGCCAACGTTTTTTTAAAATTACTAATATTAAAGAATGGAAAATGCAAATGAATCAGATTTAAAATTTAACAACAGCTAATCCCCTCATCTTTTAAAAAATGAATAATGTCGTTATTTAAGAAGCTCTGCCTGCATTGAAATCCCTCCAGATCATCTTCAGGAACACCTGAGGGCCCTTTCACACAGCCATATAACCCGGAATATCAAGCCAGGTAACCCATAATGTCTGTTTTGAACTGGATTATCTTTAGTCCACACTGCCATGTAATCCAGTTCAATGGAGAGTTTATGTAACTGTGTGGAACAGGCCTGAATAAAATGTAGGTCTGTGACTTAGCGCCCTTCTGCACAGCGATATAACCCAGAATATCGAGGCAGAACTGGGTTATCTGAGTCCACACTGCCATGTAATCAAGTTCAGTGTGGATTTTATATTTCTCCTCCTCCTCCCTCTTCTTCTTATTCCTCCTCCTCTTCTTCTTCTCTTCTTCTTTTTCTTCTTCTTCTCTTTCTCTTTTTTCTTCTCCTCCTTTTTCTCCCCTACAACTTTTCTTCTTCTTCTCTCCTTCTTTTTTCTCCTTCACTACTACTACTTCTTTTCTTCTCCTTCTTCTCTCCTTCTCTTCTTTTCCTCCTTCTCCTCTTCTTCTCCCCCTCCTCCTCCTGCTTCTCTTCTTCCTCTCCTTCCTCTTCTTCTCTCTTCTCCTTTTCTTCTTCTCTTCTCTCCTCTTCTCTCCTTCTCCTTTCTTATTCTCTCCTCCTTTTCTTCTTCTCCACTACTTCTTCTTATCCTCCTTTTCTTCTCCTTCTCTCCTTCTTTTTCTCCTGCTTTTAAACAGAGGTTGGATGGCCATCTGTCAGGGGTGATTTGAATGCAATATTCCTGTTTCTTGGCAGGGGGTTGGACTGGATGGCCCATGAGGTCTCTTCCAACTCTTTGATTCTATGATTCTAAGATTCCTCCCCTCCTCCTCCTTCCTCTCTTCTTTTTCTTCTTCCTCTCTCTTCTTTTTTCTTCTTCTTCTTATCCCCTTCTTCTCCTCACCTTTTTCTCCTTCTCCTTCTTCTCTCCTTCTTTTCTTTTTCTCTCCTTGTTTTTTCTCTGCTTCTTCTTCTTTTCTTCTTTTTTCCTTCTCCTTCTTTTCCTCCTCTTCTTCTTCTCCTTCTTTTTCTTCTCTCTTTCTCCTCCTTTTCTTATTCTCTCCTTCTCCTTCACTTCTTCTTCTTTTCTTCTCCTTCTTCTTTCCTTCTCCTTCTCCTCCTCCTCCTCCTCCTCTAAGCAGCGTCTCCATGATCTCAGAAGGTTAAAGGTAAGCCGCCTCTCGAGCGCCCCCTGGCCGTCAATGGAGGCAGGGCGCGTGGCGGGCGGGCGGGCGGTCATCGGCACGGCGGGTCAGTCCACCCTTCTCCGGAGCGCCTGGCCATTCCAAGAAAGCGCGAGGGGGCGGGGGAGAGCGCGCCTTCGGGACTCGCCGGTGCCTTCCTCTCCCCCCTTCTTAGGATGCTCTCCGAGAGACTCCCCGTGGCATTGTTCGCTTCCCCCTTTTGAATGAGGGGCGGGGAAGGAAGGAGGGAAGCAAGCGAGGAAGGAGGGTCCATCTCCGTGATTTCGGATGAGAAGCTTGCCCGGCAAGTCGGTGTCCTCCTTCTCCTCGGGTCTGAGACAAAAGGGAGCGAGTGGTGAGGCGTGGAGGATCTCCCTGGGTCCTTCTCTCCCTTCGGGATCCCTTGCTCTCCCTCTCCGCCTCCTCGTTTGCCGCCGATCCCGGCTGGCCCAGCTCCCGGGGGCTCCTTAGGGCATGCCATCTCGCCCCTGCCGCCAATGTTTCACTGGAGCAAGTGGAAGAAGAGGATGGGCGCCAGCACTTCCTTCTCCTCTTCTTCCAAGAGACCCGTCTTCGACGAGAAGGAGGATGGTGAGTCCTAAGCAGGCAGGGTGGGCTTGGGGAGACGGGGGAGCAAGGGCTGCGTCCACACTGGGGGATTGAAACGGCTTGGCACCGCTTGAACCACCCAGGATCCACGCTAAGACTTCAGACTCTCGTCCAGGGAAGGGTCAAGACCTTGTCCAACTTGGGGATTGGCCCAAAGAGGGGTGGAAGATCTCAATCAATGATAAGACATACTTTTGAAATCAGATGCCCAAAAGAGACAAGTCTGAGAATATTGGATCAAAAAGTTTTGCTTCCTGGGTCTTTAAAAACATTACCAATGAATCAGATCTTACAACCAGTGGCACAATGGGTTAGACCCCTGTGCCAGCAGGTCGCAGGTTCGAATCCGGGGAGAGCACGGATGACCTCCCTCTGTCAGCTCCAGCTCCTCATTCGGGGACATGAGAGAAGCCTCCCACAAGGATGATAAAACATCAAAACATCCGGGCGTCCCCTATGCCAGCGGGTCGCAGGTTCGAATCCGAGGAGAGCACGGATGAGCTCCTTCTATCAGCTCCAGCTCCTCATGCGGGGACATGAGAGAAGCCTCCTACAAGGATGATAAAAACATCCGGGCGTCCTCTGGGCAACATCCTTACAGATGGCCAATTCTCTCACACCAGAAGCGACTTGCAGTTTCTCAAGTTGCTCCTGACACAAAAACAAAAAAACCCTTCTGAGGATGCTTGCCATAGATGCAGGTGAAACGTCAGGAGAGAATGCCTCTAGAACATGGCCATATAGCCCAAAAAAACCTACAACAACCCATTACCAATGAACCTATAATAGCAGGAGTTGCTACAGGACATAGCCTGGACTTTCCTCTACACCAGTGTTTCTCAACCTGGGGGTCGGGACCTCTGCAGGGGTCGCAAGGTGGTGTCAAAGGGGTCACCAAAGACCATAAGAGAAAACAGTGGCCATGGGGATTCTGTGTGGGAAGTTTGGCCCAATTCTATCGTTGGTGGGGTTCAGAATACTCTGATTGTAGGTGAACTATAAATCCCTGTAACTACAACTCCCAAATGTCAAGGTCTATTTTCCCCAAACTCCACCAGTGTTCGCATTTAGATATGTTGGATATTTGTGCCAGGTTTGGTCCATATCCATCATTGTTTGAGTCCACAATGCTCTCTGGATTTAGGTGAACTACAACTCCAAAACTTAAGGTCAGTGCCCACCAAACCCTTCCAGTATTTTCTGTTAGTCATGGGAACCTTCCTAATGCCGTGATCCCTTCATACAGTTCTTCATATTCTGGTGACCCCCAACCATAACATTATTTTCGTTGGCCTTGAGTTTGGGAATTGTAGTTCACCTACATCTAGAGAGCACTGTGGACTCACACAATGATGGATCTGGACCAAACTTGGTACGAATACTCAATATGCCCAAATGTGAACACTGGTGGAGATTGGGGAAAATAGACCTTGAGATTTGATAGTTGTAGTGGCAGGGATTTGTAGTTTGCCTACCATCAAAGAGCATTCTGAACTCCACCAATGATGGAATTGAACCAAACTTGGCACACAAAACTCCCTTGACCACCAGAAAATACTGGAAGGGTTTGGTGGACACTGACCTTGAGTTTGGGAGTTGTAGTTCACCTACATCCCGAGTGCTCTGTGGACTTAAACAATAATTAGATCTGGACCAAACTTGGTACATAAACTCAATATTCCCAAATGTAAACACTGATGGAGATTGGGGAAAACAGACCCTGACATTTGGGAGTTGTAGTAGCTGGGATTTATAGTTCACCTACAATCAAAGAGCATTCTGAACTCCATCAATGATGGAACTGAACCAAACTTGGCATGCAGAACTCCTTTGACCAACAGAAAATACTGTTTTCCGACCCCTCTGACACCCCGTTGTGACCCCCCCAGGGCCCCCGACCCCCACGTTGAGAAACACTGCTCTACCCAAAACTACCCTTCATCATAGTCACGATCAATTTGTATACCATTTGCGCCATCGTTTAACCCAGGCATCAAAACCATTTTGGGAAAAAAAATAGGGTTTTGCTTTGTGACCCATCATCTTGAAGCTGTCTTAACGTCATTCAAATCGTTGAATCTGAAACCATCTTAGGTTGTCTTTCAGAGGTCCAAACAGGTCAAAGTCAGAAGGGGCTAAATAATAAACACTCTTCAAGTGATGGTGGATTTCCTTAGGTGCACACAACCATATTTTGCCGGAAATTCAGTGACGGCTCTTTCTTTGAGCTTCAGATTCCTGGTTCTAATCAGTCAATGGGAAAAAAGAAAAGACTCTTATCAGTAGAGTAACTAGCTCTATCATATCATGCGTAGATAGCCCAGTAGCTGTGAAAGAAAGAAAAGTTAGAGCGAGGGAGGCATTACTTTTTGACCAAGCCACGTATATATTTGTCAATAAAAAAAGAATAAAACCATATCAACATATAGTAGCATTTTGGAAGAAGAGATCGGTATAAGAATCATTAATATTACAAATGAAAACATATCCCATGGGTGATGGGTAAACATAGACATTAAATGTATTAAAAATAAAAATGACTAATTGTTGAACTGATTTATTGCACATTGTGTGTTCATGTTAGTTGTGTGTGTTTTCTATACTTATGAAGAAATGATTTAATGCACGTTGTGTGTTAATGTTAGTTTGTGTGATTTGTATACTTAAGAATAAATAATAATGATAATAATAATCATCATAGTATGCTTTGATCCCACAGCATTGAGCCAGGGCAGTTTCAAGTGGTGTCAAACTGTGTTACTTCTCTAATGTAGATGCACCCAATGTCAGAATTGTCATCAAACTCTGGATGCTCTTGAATCAAAGGGACAAGTGTCAGAGGGTTCCTCCATACAGCCATATAACCCAGAATAACAAGGCAGAAAACCCCACAATATCTGCTTTGAACTGGATTATTTGATTCTATATGGCCATATATTCCTGTTGAAAGCAGATCATCTGGGGTTTTATTCAGCTGTATGGAAGGCATTGACCTTGAAGGAGCTGGGGGTGGTGACGGCCGACAGGGAGCTCTGGCGTGGGCTGGTCCATGAGGTCACGACTGAACAAATGAACAACAGATGGAAGGGGCCTTAGATGCTCTGATCTCTGTGTAAGGGAAGTAGCTACTTGCTCTTTTTTCGTGTCAGGAGTGACTTGAGAAACTGCAAGTCACTTCTGGTGTGAGAGAATTGTCCGTCTGTAAGGACGTTGTCCAGGGGATGTCCAAATGTTTTGATGTTTTATCATCCTTGTGGAGCTCCAGCTCCATGGGGAGCTGGAGGTGACAGAGGGAGCTCATCCGTGCTCTCCCCAGATTCGAACCTGCGACCTGTCGGTCTTCAGTCCTGCCGGTACAAGGGTTTATCCCACTGTGCCACCGGGGGCTCCAGCCACTTGCTGAATAGTAAGGAGAAATAGGTTCCACAAAAAAGATGTCCTTTGAAGCATCTGAAAGAGCAAGTCAGGATTGACACTCTCTGCCTCTTGAGGGGGACAAAGACCTCTCTCCACTTCCTCTCTCAGGATGTGCGTGCCAGTCTTAAGGAAGCATCCGAGTGTGTGTTCATCGCAAGGCACAACTTTCTTTGTCGGAAACTTGCATCCCTATCAGATGCAGACCTGAAGATGGCATTCATGGCTTGTGTGCCTTCAAGTGTGCCGATCACAGGGTTTTCTTGTCAAGATTTGTTCAGAGCAGAGTTTCCATTGCCTTTCTGTGCGCCCGAGAGAGTGTGTGACTGGTGGAAAGTCACCCAAGGGGTCACCATTGTTGAGAGGGGATTCATACCCCAGTCTTTAAAGAGTCATAGCCCAATGCTCAAAGCATCACTCTTGGTGCAAAGATGCCAGCTGCTTAAATCTAAGAACATTCCAGTTGTATCTCTTCTCCCTGCCGGGTGATACTGTAGTTTCTGTCTCTTGACTGCTGCAGAATAAAACCGTTAAAGGCTAATAGGTTTATGCATTTGTACATGTTAATGGCAGGGAATTATAAAGTTGAAGAACTGTGAAGGCTTGGTAGTGGGGACTGGACTGTATAGACCTAATTTGAAAACTGATTTTAGTTATTTAGACTAGCACTTCTTAAACCTTTCCTACTTATGACCCCTTTACACCTGAGAAATTTTTATGCGATCCTAGGTATGTAGGTATATATAAAAAAGTATGCATATCAAGTGCTTCCTGATAATAAATCAGCATTTGCAAGGCTTGTTAAACAGGCTGATATTCCTTTTGGTGTAATTTAGCTGAAGCATTTTCTGCAGAGTCCACTGTAAACATTGCATGGTGTTGCTAATAGGTTTGTGTATATGGGTGGCATTCATAAACCTTTTTTTGTGACTCCCAGCATTGAGCTAACAGGACTCAATTTGGGGTCAAGACCCATTGTTTTTGTATCTTTTATAAAACTACATTTTAATATGTGTATTTGTAATATTTTTTTTGCAATGTTTGTGTGTTTTGACCGTGCTGTGACCTGCCTTGAGGTATGCGGAGAGGCAGGTAAGAAATATAATAGTAATAATAATAATAATAATAATAATAATAATAATAATAATTTAAGAAGAAGTGATATAGACTATTTTTGATAAATAAGAACATGGCTGCATGAAGCATATACTTCCCTTTTCTCAAGTCAACACTGATTCTATTAAAGTCTTGAGTTTTTCCTCAAAGAGAGAGAAAATAGAGCACATCGTTTCATGTGTTCTCCACTTTATTGTGCATAATTATAATATGGCTTTTCAGGCTTGTTTAAATAATGTGAGAGGCACACTTCACTTTGGAAGAGCTTCATAAAGAAATACATATAGACTAAGGCAGAACATATTACAAGTTACAACTAAGTTTCCTTATCTGAGGGCCCTTCTGCACAGCCATATAACGCAGTATATCAAGGCAGAAAATTCCACAAAATCTGCTTTGAACTCGTTTATCAGAGTCCACACTGCCATATCTACCGGTTCAAAGCAAAAAAT